ATATATATATATATATATATATATATATATATATATGTGTGTGTGTGTGTGTGTGTGTGTGTGTATGTATGTATATGTATGTATGTATGTATTAGTGATGTTTCATTTTAATCATGGAAAAATATAGATTTTGGTTTACTTTTTTTTAACTGAAAAATTGGGGATTTCTTTTTTTTTTTTTATCAGAGAAAACCAGTATTCCTGGTCATCATGACTTGAAGCTGCCACCAGTGAAGAAGGCCAGTATTTACAAAGTGACAAGTGAGCCGGTGACTTGCAAGCCAGTACCTTAGTGTTTTAAAATACCATTTTTTTCAGGATTGTTGCTACTGTATATCTTAGCTCCTTGGGCATTCTCTGTTTAGTCTGGACTGACAAGGAAGTAAATGGTGTCAACTGTAGACAACAAATTCCTAAAACAGAAATGGGATAATGTTCAAAAGAAGAGCTGTAAGAACTGATGCTTTGTTCCATCCTCTTCTTCATCTTACATTAAGAACTTTCCAAGACCTATTATCCAAAATCTAAGAAATAAGAATCAGTTGGCACATCTACATGTGCTATTAGCACATACGAATAAACTCTGGAGTTTATTGCTCTAGAGTTGATTGCTCCTGGATGTCATGTCTGCACGTGTTCCCAGGAGTGCAGCATGTTAAGCCAGGTTAGAGCAGCCCCAGCTGGGAGGGGACCCACAGAGTCAGCCTGGCAGTCTGGGACTGTTACCCCAGCAAAACATGCTACTAAGGGTCTGGCTGGGGCATGAGGGTGCTTCAGCATGGGGCTAGCCAGCAAACAGTCCCCATGCTCAAGCACCCTCATGCCCTAGCCAGCCAGGGCAGTGTCTATACATGTACTGCTGAGAAGTCTTTTACTCCCTAACATGATAGTACTTGTATTTACAAGTACTAAGCTGCTGTGAAGTGAATTAATCTATTCCAGCCTAATAGGGGTGCATGTTTAGATGTGCAACATTTACTGTGCAGCTAATTAGTCTACTGCACAGTGATCATCTTGTGTAGACATGCCCAGTAGGGAGCAGTCTAGCATGATTTGAAAGACTGTGACTTGTGTTAGTGATTTTTACAACTCTCAACATACAGATAATTACTAGGGCTGTGCGAAACAGCACAATTCCACTTCGACTGGAGTTTCAAGGGTTCCATGGAACAGCGTTTTGTTTCAAATTTCATTTTTATTCGAAACAGCTGTTCCATTTTTGTTCATCAAAACAGTGAGGCTGTTTTGACGCTGTTTCAATGTTTCGCCCATTAGCTATAATGGGGAAGCTTGACACAACCTCTGTCATCTGGCAGGCAGACAGGGGCTGCGGGTCCCCAACCTGTCTGCCAGATGAGGGAGGGAAGCCAGTTCTACTGCCTGGGACTGGGGAAAGGAACTGAGCCCAATTCCTCAGTTCCCCTCCCCAGCACTAGATCGGGCTGGGGATGGGAAGTCAGACCAGCTGGGCTGAATTCCCATCTCCTGCACTAGATCAGGCTGGGGAAAGGAATTCAGCCCAGCTGAGCTGAGTTCATTTCCCCAGCCCCGATCATCGGGCTGAGTTCATTTCCCAAGCCCAATCATCATGTGGTCAGGCCAGCTGGGCTGGGGGAAAGGAATTCAGGCCAGCTGAGCTGAGTTCATTTTCCAAGCCCAATCATCATGTGGTCAGGCCAGCTGGGCTGACTTCTCATCCCCAGCCTGATCATAGGGCTGGGGAGGGGAACTGAGCGATTGGGTTCAGTTCCTTTCCCCAGCCCGATCGCAGTGCTTGGGAGGGGAAGTGAGCCTGGGCTCAGTTCCCTTCCCCTGCTGTGATTGGCTTCCCACAGCCTGGTGGTGGGAAATGGGGAGAGCCAGGGCTGCACTCCCAGCTGCTGCTAGGAGTGCAGCCCTGGTTTTCCCCTGTCTCCCACCACCTCGCTGCTGGCTTTGAAACTCAAAATGTTTCTAAACTTTTGAAACATTTCAACTAGCCTCGTTTTGTTTTGAGGCTGTTTCAAAGCCCTGTGTTTTGATTTGATTTTGCTGTTTTGAGCTTGAAATGAGTAGAAACAGGGTCAAATCAAAACAGCTGGCAAAATTTCACACAGCGCTAATAATTACCTAAAAAGTCACTATAATATACATTTTCATAGATGTTTGTACTAAGTAGTATCTATAAGGAACCTTACTCAGAAACTTTTCAGGTGAACAGTAAGATACATTAATATAACCTCCTTGGCTAGGGACAGACATTCAAAAAGTCTGGTCTTGAATGGATTTAATTTTTGCAGGTTAATCTAACCTGCAAAGAGTGAACTGATTTGAAGGTGGATAGACATTCCCTTTTCATTACAGAAATGCAGGCACATGCCTGCAGTGGCTCAGGTTAGAAGCCAGGGGCACTAGAGC